CATACAGTGGACTACCAGTAAAATTGATACAAATGTGGGACCAAAGATTATTCCGACCGAGTCTGGGGGAAAAAATGAAGTTCAGGTTTGCATGAACCTGGTTGACAGCATGCCCAGGAGACTACAGGCTGTCATTAAGGCTAAGGGTCACCTGACAAAGTATTGATAGTTGTGTAAATATTGACAGCTGTATGAATAATTTTTGGTATATTGTAATCCATTACATAACTTTCTATCAAAGTTATCTGACATTATCAAGCTGAATTTGTTCTGACACCGTTTAACTCTGAGTTCTTGTCATATTTTATTACCATTTTCTAAACTATAGTGAATAAACTGTGATAATGTGAGAAATGTTGAAGGTGTCTGAATATATTTTGGTTTGACTATTTGATAAATGAAGATAAATAGATAAATGATATCTATTTGATAAATGAAGTTAACCAACTAACATTATACATACTCTTTTGGTTTCTGTACCCAATATTTAAAAAATGTACAAATGCAATGAAAATATTGGTATCGGTACTCGGTATCGACAAGTACCGAAAATAAAAGTATCGGTATCGGGCGAGTACTGGAAAAAGTGGTATCGGTGCATCCCTAATTAAAATATCAACCATTGAATTTAAATAATATTTCAAAATAGTACAGTTTTTATTTTTACTGTTTTTGATCAAATAAATTTAACCTTGGTAAGCATAAAAGACTACTTTCAAACACATTAAAACAACTTACAGACCCCAAACTTTAGAACGATAATGCAGAAAGAGCTCATCATATAAATAAGTCATAAAACACCCTTTGCATGTCTAAAAAAAAATATATGGCTTCTATATGGCTTGGATTATTTGCTTTGAACTAACATTTAATTTTACAAGTCAAATTGCCCTGTTATAAAACCTTGTCAATTATTTTCCATAGCTTCATAACTCGTAGCCGTGAGTTATTAATTGAAGCATTTATTCAATAAATACTAATATAATTATTATAAATGCTATCACATTCCTATTTCTGTTTTTTACACTACAGTCAGATATTTAGAAATAATAAACATACATTTCCTGCCTGCCTAATGTGCTTCAAAATAAGGCTTTTGAAGGGGATCGTGCATTTTTTGTTTCTGTTTAATTTTCAAAATGTATAAACTGTGTGTGTGTGTGTTAAATACATGAGACACTGCTGTCTCATCTGTAACTCCAGTAAAGTATAGTGGCTCAGGATACGTCACTGTATTTCTCTCCTCTGAGCTGATATTCTACACACACAGTTGTTTTCTTGTCTGCCAGGGTTAAGGACAGTGATGCCACAATAGTGATACAGAATCCATTTCTATAT